ATACTTCTTTCTAAGCTCTCACAGCATACAGAAAGACATCCCACAGCAAGTTATGACTTGTAGAGCTTAGAAAGAAGTATAGAGCTACCAGTAACTATAGGATTCTTGCCTCCTGTTTAATTTTCTGCCCTCTCAAGCCTACATTATTAGCATGTTTACTCAATATCTCTCACTATAAGTCTATGTTACTGTTGGATTCAGTCTTATTTTCTTGTCTCTTAGCTGATCTGAAGCTTTTGACCACTTTCCCTTCTTACAAACTCCTTCCTCTCTAACCCCCTTGGTTTCCCTTTTCACAACCCCACCACTGTTCTTTATCCGTCTTTTCTACATAGGCTGTGTTTCTTTACATTCCTTCCTTTACGTTAGTGTCAACTTTTTCACAGCTTTAGTGGCCTTCCTGGACTGTATGTGGATGCCTGCAGCTCGTTAAACTTGTTATTTCCAATGCTAATCTTGAGGTTCCCCTCTTCCCTATAATTCCTTCTTCCTAAATCAAATCTCATCCTTAGTATTCTAGTTTACCCAGTTGCCAAATCACAGGCATGAATATCATCCTTGACTTTTTCCATATCCACTTAGTTAGTGATTGTGCCTTTTGATGGTGACTCAGACCCACCACTGCTCTTATGGCACCACCTGTATCCAGATCACACTCTTCCCTTTTGTGACCTACTGAATCATCTGCTCCTTTGTCTCCTATTCTTGGGTATAACTTGTCTTCAGCCTCCTGCCATCCAGGAGCTAAAGCTTCCTTTCCTTGGCTGAATTCTTCACGCATTACTCCAGCTTCCTTGTTATGCCCTCTGTAGACCCAGATCATACTGCTTTGTTTGTTTCTTTCTTTCTTTTGTTGAATTTTTCTTTTCTTATCCCTGATATGCTCCTATCTGGAGCACATTTCAATTCTTTCTTTACTCATGCATCTATCCTGATTAGAGTTATGCGGATGTCCTTCAGGGCCTGAAGAATTCCACCTTTCCCAAGTCATAACTTGCTGTGGGATGTCTTTCTGTATGCTGTGAATATGTGTTACTCTGATTGCTTGATAAATAAAGCTGGCTGGCCTATAGCAAGGCAGCTTAGAGGTAGGCAGGAAATCCAGAAGAGAGACAGGAATAAGAAAGGCAGACACAGAGGAGACGCCATCCGCCGTCCAGGGAGCAGCATGTAATGGCACACAGGTAAAGCCATGGAACATGTGGTGACAAATAGATTAATAGAAATGGGTTAATTTAAGATATAAGAGCTAGATAGCAAGAAGCTTGAGCCATAGGCCATGACCATAAGTTTGTAAATATTATTAAGCCTCTGAGTGATTATTTTATAAGCAGCTGTGGGACTAGAGTGGGAGAGATTCGTCCTGATGGCAGGACTGGGCAGGACCAGAGAAACTTACAGCTACAATAACCTTTCCCTTTGATTTTATCCCCTGTGCTTGTTTATGAGTCAATGAATTTTCAGCCCTCAAAGGCAGAATTTTGGCCAGTGCAACCGTGAATTTTGGTTCCTTAGTGCTGCAGCTAGGCCTGTGAGCACACCATGGAACCAGTGTTTCTTAAGGGAAATGAACGTTCTTCAGAATATTTTCACACCCACATCTCAGTGTGGGTAAAGCCAAACAATTGGAGACGGTTTAAAGAAACATGAGCAGTGGGTGGATTAGAAGATTAAATTAGCTGAGTTGTTTTGCACAAGTAAGCAGGAAGAAGATGTTAGAATCAGTAAAGCTGGTTTACAGTTAAAAGCATTTAATTCCACCCCATAGAGCACAAAGGAAGAGATTTTAATAAAACTAGCTTGCATCAATTTTAATATTATCTCCCTCTTAATAAAGAGAGGTTTCTATGTTGTGAAAATATATATCTTAATATTTAAAGATGTCAAACTGTTAATCTTTTAAGATCATTTTTTCTCTACTAGAAAAAAGCCTCAAAGGCTTTTTTCCTGTTTTTTTTTTTGCATAATTTTGGTTTTTTTTTGTATAATTTTTTCCTGTTTTGCTCAGTGAACTCAATAAACTGTATCTAGCTATAGTTTATTTCCAAAATATGACAATATTTTTTGAATTTGTATTTTAAAAACACATATACACTAAAAAGATAAATTAGTGGATGGTAAAAATAAATCTATGGTAATAAAAACCTGTTAGATATTTTGTGGACAAAATAAAGCAGTCTAGAAGTCCATACAGAAGTTGCCACTTGACCAGACCCAGCACTAGATCAGCTCTTCTCAGGTAGGCTCTTCCCAAAGCTGGATGGTAGATCTTATAGTGAAGGACTTAGATTACAAAGTTCATCTGATGCCAACTCTGCAAAATGAATGCTTCATATTGAAGCCATGGTAGAGATTGGCATGTGTCTGATTTTAGATGAGGGCCACCCAGATTCCACACATTGTGTGATGTTTCTTAAAACGTAAGGATAAGATGTTTTCTTCAAAAGTACAACTTTGAATCAGTTTGACCCCTTAAAATATATTCATTTGGAATCCATTATTCTCTCTAAAATACAGAAAAGAAATGTTTGCTTAGAATGTCTTAAAGAAAGAGTGCAGATGCCTTTCCAGTCTGCCTTTGCAATAGAAGAATGTTAATGTTGACTTAGAGGATGATTAACTGCATATTAACTGTGAGTGTTTGTGTGTGTGTGTGTGTGTGTGTGTGTGTGTGTGTGTGTGTGCACAATACATATATATGTGCTTGCTCTTCCTCCTTCCTCCTTCCTCTCTGTCCCCTCCCTTACAGTGAATAGTCCCCTTTGTGCTGTCATGTCACGTGTTTTTAATCCCAGTTTTGCATATGATTGAAAGCATGCAAAAATTTGTCTTTCTAAGTCTGGATTAGTTCTCATGACTTGATAACTTCCAGTTTCAATTTTCCTGAAAATGACATAATTTTATCCTTTTTTATGTTTGAGTCTAACATTTCTGTGAAATGATTTAGTTCAAAAAAATGAATCCAAGCAACTAAACAGGCAGATGTGTTGAGTGGAATTGCTTTGGACTTTCTGATGAAAGCAAGTAAGTGACTGGCTTGTATGTCATCCTGGTGATTTGTAGGTGGGGGAGTCCCATGGCTAGTTTATATAGGATACTTACCAATTTGCTTGTGATGGAGGAGGACGTGCAAATCCCTCCCCTGAGGTCTGGGAATCTGTGAATTGTTAAGATTTAACAAGAAATGCAGAGCAGGTTCAAGAGCATTAGAAATGGAAATGACTTGCGGAAGTCTGCTGCCCAGTGTCCTCTCTCACAAAGCTTCAGAGCAACATTTGTCAGTTCGGAAGTCATGGTGGTTCTCATGTTTTGATCTCAGAGGAACTGTGGTAGAGCTAGGACTGAGAATGAGTAGAATTAGGACTGAAAATGAGGTGGAGTTTGAACTGAGGATGAGGTGGAGTTAGGATGAAGGATGTACCTGTAAAGGCTGCGAGGCCTTCCATTGCCCTTCCTAGTTTTCTGTCTGGTAATGTATGATCAACAAGATCATAGTGAGGAAGAAGTATTCATATTAAACAGAGAGATTCTCGTCCTTATCTAGTAAAGGAATGTGGCTCAGAGCCATGTGGGTTGAGCCATCCCAGGGCCATCTGAAACTTGGGTAGAGCAGAGATTATCTGATGGGACTACAGAAGAATAAGAGGTGAGAGTGAATCGTTTTATTCATTCTGGACACAGGATAAAAACCTTCCTCAAAGTCCAGAACTGTTCAACTCTTCCTTCCAGCCTTTTTGGAGTTGTTCTTTATTTTGTAGTTTCTATGTAATTTTTCCAGTGGTTTCTTTGAGTTAGCCAGATGAGTAATTTTAAAGTTACGCCTGGTGTTAGATGTTTGCTTCACAGAGATTAAGGCACAAGAAAAGCCCAAGTAGGTATTAGACCAAGGTGGGCTTTGTCTAAAAGCCTGCTCCCCTTATCAGTTCACACTCTTATTCTCCCATAAAATGAGGGACAGAGTGGTAATTTTAAATTTTGGAAAGAAAAATCTGTCCTGTGACTCAGATTTCCCTGCCCTGGGGCTGGTTGTCTTTTCATCTTTCTCCATAAACCAGAATCCTGTTTGTAGCTGGGGGAGCCACAGCTGAATCTAATGTCAGGCTCCCCAGGTGGCCAGGGGCCATTCATGGAATCAGAGAGAAACAGTACAGACCATTTGGGGAAGGAGCAGTGGACACACTGGGAAGGAGCAGTGGACACACTGGGAAGGAGCAGTGGACACACTGGGAAGGAACAGTGGAGACGTTAGGAAGGAGCAGTGGACACACTGGGAAGGAACAGTGGAGACGTTGGGAAGGAGCAGTGGACACACTGGGAAGGAGCAGTGGACACACTGGGAAGGAACAGTGGAGACGTTGGGAAGGAGCAGTGGACACACTGGGAAGGAACAGTGGAGACATTGGGAAGGAACAGTGGACACACTGGGAAGGAGCAGCGGACACACTGGGAAGGAGCAGCGGACATACTGGGAAGGAGCAGTGGACACACTGGGAAGGAGCAGTGGACACACTGGGAAGGAGCAGTGGAGACACTGGAAAGGGACAGTGGGCACACTGGGAAGGAGCAGTGGGCACACTGGGAAGGAGCAGTGGACACACTGGGAAGGAGCAGTGGACACACTGGGAAGGAACAGTGGACACACTGGGAAGGAGCAGTGGACACACTGGGAAGGAGCATTGGAGACATTGGGAAGGAACAGTGGACACACTGGGGAAAGAGCACCAGCTCATTACAGGGACCCCAGGGAAACAGACACAATGCAGTACAGCCTGCTGTCTCACACCCTTAGTTAAAGTTGGGTGGTTTCTGACCACACAGTACTTTCAAAGCAAGTCTTTTATTCTCGTATCTCTGCGCTATTTACTAATGCAAGTAAAAGGCAATGTAGGCTTTAAGCTAAATGGCATGTCTTTCCTCTTTACGGTTCCCTGTGAATTAAAATAGGGCTGTTCTTGGCACTACAGTGGTGGGACTTGAAAATTCTTCTTATGTTCCTACAGAGTACAGTACGATCCACAGCCCTTCAACGCCCATTAAAGATTCTGATTCTGATCGACTGCGTCGAGGTTCAGATGGGAAGTCACGTGGCCGAGGCAGAAGAAATAATAATCCCTCACCTCCTCCGGATTCTGATCTTGAGGTATGTCACTGCTCATACTCAAATAAAAAACCAGGTACCACATAGCTCATTAACAGCTCAAGAGAATTGTCCTGTGACATCAGCCAATACCCCAACACTTTGGTCATTGCTTGTTGTTCATATTAGCAAAGTAAAACATTTTTTTCTCTCTTTCATATTACCTGCCTATCATACATACTTTTCATAGTTGATATAATTTGCTAGGGGATATTTATGCTGTTGTTCGGCAGTACACGGGCTGTATACGGGCTGTATACGGGCTACACCATTGAGTGTCTTCCTGCTTTCTGTAATTGTTTACTTCGGTATTTTCTTTCATAGTGTCTACACAGTACAGCATCTATTTCTTTCTTCCTCAAGAAATATATTGGCCAGATGTGGTGACACACACCCGTAATCCTAGCACAGAGGGTGGGGATAGAGGTAGAAGGATCAAAAGTTGAAAGTCATTCTTAGCTCATGGTGAGTCTGAGGCCATCCAAGGCTCTGTGGCACTCTGTCTCACACAGAACAAAACACAAATCTGAACAAGCTTTGCAGTTCTGCATGAAAAAAATTGTACCATACTACTGTGTATAACTGGCATTTCAAATAAGCAAGTGCCATCCTTCAAGAGCTGAGTCAGTTCCACTTTGAAGCTAAAGACACATCTTTGTATATCGAGAAAGGGAGATCTGGAATGTTCTAAACCGAAATGGTAATCAGCTACTGAGACATGTTTTGGTGCAGTTCAAAAGCAAAAGCATTCAGCAAGAACTGTCAGGGTGGCAGATTTCAGTGCCTTGAAGCATTGCAATTAAGTTCCTGCTTTTTGCCAAAGTAAAATATGATGGTGGAAAACTTGATGATTTTGGCTGGAAAGATGAGGCTTTCCCAGCAGCGTCTACGTACATGAATATGTGCTGGTGTGAGGAGGAATGGGGAGAGAAGCAAGCTAGGGAGACTGCAGTATCTTGAAGAACTGTTTCAATGAACTCCAAATCCAGTTCAAAATACTCACTGAGTGTCTAAGTGTATGTGTGATGTGGCCGCTCAATTTTGAAAACTGAAAACACCTGATGAAGAATATATAGTCACCTCTCTGTATCCACAGGGGACAAGCTCGAGGACCCTCCTGTTGATACCCAAGTCCACAGGTGCTCTAGTCCTTCATATGCATCAGGCTGTTCACACATGCCCTGTGCAGCCCCCTGTTGGTTTTTGCTCATCTTGGGAGCTGAAGCTGAGGCCTGATGCATGCTAGGCAAGCTCTCTACCACTAAGCATTAGCTCACATCTCCCCACAGTTTAAACCATGTCGAGACTACTTACAATACCAATAAAGTGTAAAATATATATAGATGGCCTTTTCCTGGACCGTTTATAGAATAGTAAGTATACACGCGTTCAGTTGAGATACAGTTTGTTTTGCTAAGTAGCTCCATTGCTGGACTCAGAACTCAAATATGCTGAGAGCCAACTGTATAACCTGTCCTTCGGGTAACTGCCTAACCGCTAACATAAGGTGAATGGCCTAGGTGAAGCTTCAACTTCTGCATGAAATGTTTAATATTTAACTTGATTAGAGTAAATCATAAAAGTTATTTTTAACTCTTCTCATCTTCTGAGGTAAGGTCTCTTTTGAATGACTTTCAATTTCGGAACCTTCTCTCTCTCAAAACTTATAAACAGACTAGTTTCAACCCACTGGTCATCTCCTGGGAACTGAATTGAGATATTACTACAGGATAGGAAAAACATACATTCTTTTTTTCTATATTTATATTGACTTTGTGAATACACTTGTCCTCCTGTGTCTCATCAGAGACTAGACCTGAAGAGCTGGGTGATGCCCTTAGGAAGAGTTGCATTTGAAAAAGCACAAGTTCAGATTTTTCCTTTGTATGTCATTTCAAAACTACCATGTCATGTCAAAATTTACTGACAGCAGTGTTCCCAACCAGAGCAAAGGTGCATTGACTTTGTCCTTCCCTTGTAGAGAGTGTTCATCTGGGACTTGGACGAGACAATCATAGTTTTCCATTCCTTGCTCACGGGGTCCTATGCCAACAGATACGGGAGGGTGAGTACACAAAGCACCAGCTTTGAATTACTGTAGAGCAAATGTGCCAGAATTCACTTATTTACTTTTATCAAATGAATGGCATTTAACTTTAAGCAGTGCATTTAAGATGTAAAAAAGAGCATGATTTATTAGTGTGGCCAAATACACATGTAAGACAAACACATGTAAGTGGGGAAACACAGGTTATTTTTAAGTCTTACCAATGAGACAGATTTCATTCAATTCATGCTTATTTCAGATTCCAGTGAGAAAAGTGATGGGAGGATACTTAAAATATGTAAAAAGATAAGACCTTTTGGTTGTGCTTTTTCTACTGGCCCCGTCCTTTATTCTTAAAACATTGAGTGGGGCAAATATCACTTGCCATTGTCTGCAGTGATTAGCAGCGTTGGTATTTTGCTTTTAAAACATCTGCTGTGGATACTTTGATGTGACCCTTTGCTGTTGGGACTGAATTAATGTAAATGGTATGTAATAGTAAGCTTCTGAATGACAGTAGTATTAATACACATATATTAGAGTTATTTAATGTATATGGTATGGTATTTATTTTGATGAGTTGGTAAAGAATAATATCACATATTACCTCCTACTAGTATACTGGTTCTTGAGTTTTCTAAAACCTTAGAAATTATTTGCAGTGTGTTGCTTGTTGGTTTTAAAAGACTTTACCCATGTAAAACCTTGTAATTTGAACTGGTCATAAGTATTTCCTAAAATTACCCTGCATATATTTCTTATTTTTAATGGCTAAAGAAATAATGAGTCTTAGATCCTTGAAGCTAAGATTAGTTTGTGTCCCCCAAAATAAATTATTATATCAATGCAACAAGAGATTTATCAACATAAAAACAGATGCCGTAAAAGGTAATAAGCTTACATTATGAATATAACCATGTATTCATTTTTCAACAGATACTTATTTCAATAAACATACATTTAATCCCCAATGTTGACTTAAGTCTGGAGGTGAAACTGGGGCATTGTCTCCTAAGCTCCACAGTCCAGGTTTCCTAGTTATTAACAATAAAATCTTGGAGTGCTTGTGCATATACATGTGCACACACATTCTTATAAGATCCTGACTATTCCATCATTTGAGTTTGTATTCAGTAATACATGTGAAGCACCAGATAGCCCATCTATTGTTAAATAAGTTCTCTGTGAGAAGACAATGACAATTATGTCAAAAACTCATCAGTCCAAAAATTTTGAAAGGAAGGATTCAGTAATTTCAGTAAATTCCAGCAGGGTTATTGTTGGTGGTGTTTGTTTTTGCATTAGTATTATGACTATATCAAGCTCTATTTTAAAATGACTACATAAAAGCTAATTGTAATCTTCAAGTAGTTAGTAGAGCCTTAACAATCATCTTAACTAAGCCACAGGATGTCCCTACACTTTACTCCTAAATAAGAAAGCTGGGAGTTTCTGAACTCACAGAACTGTTGAGAAGAACAGCTGTTCACGCAGGCAGTGTTTGAAACCACACAGAAACGCACAAGCCTTTAGAAGCTCCCACAAGGGGCCACACTGATGCCCAGGGAAAGTGGCCACTGTTCTCAGAGCCACCAACAGGGCCAACTTAGAATAAAGCTCACACACCCTAGTGAGCTCCTGGTGGCCTGTGGCATAAATTGTTGATTTGCATGTGGAGTTCCCACCAAGCTTGGGACCATTGGCTTAAACTTTTTTTCTTTCAGATTCTCAGCAATCTAGAGGCAAAATGTTCTCTCAGTAATGCCCTACTCGTTAAAAGGTTTTTAAAAGTATCAGCCATTTGTATTTTGAGACTTCATCAAGTAGGATTCCATGTGTTTGCTTATTTACTGTTACTGTAGCAGGGCACATGATCTGTTGGGTTTTGTTGTTTTCCTCTCATATAACTTTCTAAAGTCAAATGTATACAGTTTATAGACTAGGGCTCTCTGATGGGTTCCTCTGTCACTCTACTCTTCATTGACACATTGATGGGGTTTATGGAGAACTTCAGGAAGTCCATTTTGTTTTTCAACTTTTTGCTTTTATTTGTTGTATGTGTGTACGTGTACAAGTGTACACACATGAATGTGAAGGTCATAGGACAACTTGTGGGAGTCAGTTCTCTCCATCCACCAGGTGGGATCCAAGGATAGAACTCAGGTCTCTAGGCTGGGTTCCAAATGCCTTTGACTCTAAATGCCTTTTACTTGTGGAGTAATCTTGTAGACACCAGCAGCCTGTTAGAGGAGAATCTTCCTGCAAGTTGCAATCTAACTTTGCATCCAAAGCCAGAATGGCCTCAGGTCACTGCGACCATCAGAAAAAGTTGTTTTAAGCAGCAGAAACACCAAGTGCAGGAGCATGGAAGGATTTGCTGTTTGAGGGATAACAGGGCTTGAGTGATAGTGTGGTGATGAAGATGGAACCTTTCTGCAGCAGATGTGGTCCAGGATGCCAGCTGAGTTCACAGGGCCTCCCAGCCATCTGCATGAAAGCTGATTTCACTGGAGGAAACAAGGGAAGTCATGGGGGATCTCAAGGGAGAAGGTCATTTACAGCTTTTCATCACTTTACACATGCATGGAGACTTAAAGGCAGGGAGCAAAGATAACTGGGTTTACTATCAGTGTAGAGAGAATGGTTGGATTCTGGTTGGATTGTGTTGTGAATAGGATATAGAAGTGACTTGGTTTGGGGCAGTATATAACAGGGAAGAGAGAAAGGTGATTTCTGGGTGGTGAGCAGCTGAGAGAATAGTCATGTTGTTTTGAAATAAGGATGAGCTGATTGTTAGTAAAGTCTGGGGATTTGGGTGTTAGGGCAATCTTAGTTTTGACACGCTTACTTGGACAAGCAAGAAGGCAGCTGGCAGATAAAGCCAGTGTCCTGAGAGAACTGGGCAGAGCTGGGGACCAGCTTTAACGTGAACATTGTGATGCTTAGGACAAGAAGCACCTCAGACCCTTGTCTGACTTCCTCCCAGACATTTGTCCAGCATCTGCTCTGTGCTGAACGCTATGACCAACCTGCTGTCCTTACTTAATATTATCCTCATTAAGGGACATTAGAATTGGGTAGAAGTTGTTCTCAAATCAGATAATCAATCCTTGAAAAATATGAGGCTTGTTCAGAATTCTTCTCCACAATGACAATAACCAAGCTGACTGGAATGGCTTGCATCCCTTTTGTTCTCCAGAGTCTGAAGGTAGCTTAGTGACAATCTGCCTCTTTTTGGAGTGCAGATTTACTTATGTTCTTGACCATTGTCAGGGAAGTATTTGGCTCCACCTTCCTCTACATGCATAGAAAGAAATGAATGCCTGACAATGTGGTAGCTGTTCTGTCTCTATGGCAACCAGATACTTGAGAAGTAGCTTAGTCACAGTAGCTTAGGCAACTCAATGAGTGGGCCATTCAGTAAGGGGATACGGGATCTGGTAGATATAATGCAAAATTAGGGCATGTTATAGCAGTATATAACCCCCTCCCAAGGTTTGAGAATATCCCACCTTCTATGTAACCCTAGCTATGGGAAGAAGGCATGCTGGGTATTAGACGGAAGTGTTGTTTTGTAACAAAGCGGGTGGGGACAAAAGGAGGGTGCTCTGTACAGCTAGCGAAGACAGAGGAAAGAGAGACCATATTAACAGGAATGTAGGGTCTGGGGGTGTTAGTGTCGGCAGGGTGTTTCTAGTCATCTGTACTCTAGCTGCTTTTGTTTATTGCATTTTGAAAAACTGTTTCCAAACTACATCCAAATTCCTGAATTTCACTAAAGAAAAATTAGTTTTTCCCCCATAGAATGTTCTTAAAACAGACAATATAATCCAGCTTTCAATATTGAATTATAACCCCCAAACTTAATAGTATTCAACTCACTATTGTATAGATGACTCAAGCAGGGTCCTTGCTCATGAGAAATTTCTGGGAGTATCTTCATCCAAGTGCCTTGATCCCTTCAACACTTCCTTTTTATTGTTACTTAGTACCCCTTTCTCCTGAAATTTTGGCTAGTGTGGATATTAAGAGGGTTACAACTCATTCATCATTTTATGAAAAAAACACAAAGCATTTTATGAAAAAAACACAGAACAGGAGAAAATGGCAGAAAGTTTGGCAGGTTGAATTGTGGGCCCTGTTCAAACTTCTTAACTCTTTAATACCCATTGAGATCAACAATGATGCCATAAAGCTCTTTTCCTAGGCTATTAGGCTGTTTCATTTGTTTTTCAAATTTGTTTGTTTTATTAGCTTGGCTTTGTTATTGTTGTTTTCAATAGAGTCTTATATAGCCCAGGTTGGCCTGAAACTACCAATGAATCCAATAGGCCCATTGAACTCCTTGATCTTCTTGCTTCCACCTCCTAAGTGCTGGGATTACGGGCATGCACCCCTATTCCTGGCTTGTTACCAGGGTTAATTTATAGATTAGGAATTGACATAATTTGAGATCATGCACAAAAAATATGTAAAACATAATATTATATCTGGCTTAAATTGTTTGATAAGTACATATGTTTGAATGGAGATGAGACTTTATTGTCAAAACCCAACTACAACAACAGCAGTAAACCCCTTGACTTAACTCAGAAAACAATAAAACTCTTGAATCTTGGCAAGGTTGCCAGTGAGTGATATGGCGACAGTGGCTTCAATCTCATGAATTGATAGTATGTGGTATGTCTTATGGTGTGATGGAAATGGGATATTTAAATTCAGATATATCTGTCTTAGTTCTAGGCTCTTGATCATGGGCAGATTATTTACTACAATTGAGAGTTAACTACTCATCCACAGAACGAACTACTTGGCTTATAGAATTGCTCTAACACTTACATTAAAGCTCGAATTGAGTAACACTATGTCTTATTAATAGCAAAAACCAATAGAAAGTAAAGCTGAACAAAAGAACACTTGCTGAACTTATAGCTGCCCTTGGAGTACTTGTCGAACATGCCCAGGTTCTGAGAGGCTCTCTGATGCCACTGTGACCTTACACTGTCTGAGCCTCTCTA